CAGTGATACTTACTTTACCTTTACAAACAATGATTAAACTTGGGCAATAGCACTTCTAATTGTATTCAGGTAGAGAGTGAAAGATATAATAATGCCTTTGATTGAACATCCTAAAGGATTATCTAAGTTTAATTATGGGTTCATTCTCTCTAAGAAAGTAATAACTATAATTATTGAGATGCTAAATTAATAAGAAATAAGCTTTGTAGTTCTCATTGCAATGTTTAAAAAGCAAGACTAACCAAAACTGGGGTCAAATCTCAGCTTCTTACTATGTGAACAGTATACAAATTTTATGATCTTATTTTAAAGATTATAATAACTGCCTTGAAAGGGGCTTTATGAGAGTTGAGATAATGCATATAAAATGCTTATTAGCACAGTGCCTGTTATTGTCACATAAAACCTGCCTAGGACCTTTAGGGGAGGTAGTACTTCCACTACTAAGCAAGTGGAAGAACTGAATCAGTCTTTATTTTGGACTTCTGTGAACTTTGTGTTAGGCTGTGATCATATAATCCATTCAATTGAGTGGTACTCAAGTTTGGCCAGGTAAGGTTAGTAAAATATGTAAATAGCCAGTCCAAACAGAAAACTTCCACATCTGAAAAGTCAACCGTATTTTCTGCTTAAGTACCAGAGACTTTAAAATAATAGGAAAATAAAAGATAGTGATAAAGTTTTTGATAAAGAATACGAAATTGGGACCCCTGAAGAGGTCCCACGTGCATTTGCATCTGCATCTGCCTGTGCACTGACTCCTGGGAGCATTGTTTACAGAGACTCCTGGACCTTCTCGACCCCCTTGACCTACATGTGGGGTCATTCGAGGTGTCTGGGCCCCAGGCCGAGCTGCCACGTGGTTCTGGAGGTGCTGCACCCTCGTGGCAGGTATTTAAAAACAATAACACTTTAAATTTAAAAAAAAATGAACAAGATGTGGAAGGGATCGGGATTTAAGGTCTATTTCTGAATTTGGGTACATAGAATATAGTGTTATATTAAATTACGCTGCAGAGGATACTGCAATTATTAAATTATATTGACAGATTTTTACAATAGGGAAATGCTTATTGTTTTTTTTTTTTACATCAGGAGAGTATACAATCATTATTTTGCTAGAAATGTGTAGGAATTTGCCAGAGTGGGTGGAATTTGGGTGTTTTTCCTTCTACTCTGGTATATATTTTTCAGTCTTTTATAATTTAAAAATGATTAAATTTTTTAATAGAAGTTTTTGGGGCACCTGGCTGGCTCAGTCAGTTAAGCATCAGACTTTGGCTCAGGCTCAGGTCATGGTCTCAGGGTCAGTGAGTTGGAGCTGTGTGGAGCTCTGGGCTGAGAGCTCAGAGCCTAGAGCCTGCTTTGCATTCCCTCCTTCTCTCTCTCTGCGCCTCCCCCACTCACACTCTGTCTCTGAAAAAATAAATAAACATTAAAACATTAAAATCTTTTTAAATTTTTACTTATTTGTCTTGAGGGGGTGGGGGGCAGAGAGAGAAGGAGACAGAGAATCCCAAGAAGGCTCTGTGCCAATACGGGCCTTAAACTCACAAACAGTGAGATCATGACCTGACCTGAAGTCAGAAACTTAACCAACTGAGCCACACAGGTGACCCCAAAATACTTAAATTTTCTTAAAGCATCTCTGTTATCTTTACTGTAGCCTCTTTGGGAAAGCCTTTCTGGTTACTGAAGATTCACTTATGTCTTCATAACTAAAACTGTTAAAGATAAATGTTTCTTTTTAAGTGAGTAAGACAGCTTAATTTAAATGGAATTTTTAATGGTTTTCTGTGATCCTTGATTCATCACAGAATTACATACTGAGTTGATTTTTTTTTCTTTTGTATTTCTGATACTTGGGTTCAAAGCACTTTAGAAGTGCTTTTTATATTTAGAAACATTCATCCTAACCATAGTTTTCTTGTGCTGTCAAGAAAATTATAGTGTACATTTCCAAAGATGTTTATGACCAAACATTCAATAATGTGATTTTGGAAGACATGTAAAGTGACTAGGAAAGAATAAATTACTTGGTGAGCCACACATGGTTGTTATTCATCATTATTTACACATGGAAAATTCATTGCTGTTTTTCCTTGACTTAACAATAGTCATAAAGCAAATGGTTTCCATATATGTTTGCTCTCTTGACCTGAAGTGAGGTTTTTGAAATCCTAAATGCCATATATTAAATTTGCCTGGAATTTTCTCCTGGAAAATGAGAACTTAGGTCTGTGTTTGAAAATTGAAAAGGTATAAATGCTGAGTAAAAGGTTGGTTTGAGTATCTGATCTCATTTTCTTTATTTTTCAGTCTCCTGAAAAGAATGTTGACATGAGCTACGAAGAATAGAAATGTTTTGATATATTTTGAGCCTATTTGCTCTGTAAAATCTCTTAATTTATGTAATTAAGTTTGTTTTATTAAGACAAGGACTTTTCAGTCATTTATGTAGAAAGATGGAAAGAAAGAAAAATGTTAGCTGGCATATTGTTACTTGGCATTCAACCAATTTTAGCAGTAATTTTTACCAGGAAAGTCTTAGCCTGCATTTGTGTTATTTTAATAGTGCAGAAATAAAGCTTATCTACAAGTTATTTCCCTCATGCTTTGGCTTCCTATAGCCTCTCCCTTTATATTCTATCAGTAAATTATAAATCAGTAAGCATATTGCTAGAGTACCTTATTCCATCACACTGACATGTAAAAGTATACAGGCATCTATCTATTAAGAGGGTGTGAAATAGATTTAATCTTGAGGGCTACATAATCCAGGCAAGTTAAGGCAGCTTTCAAATGACTTAGTTTTAGCCTTCCATTAGTTCCCAGTAATCTTAAGGTATCACCACCCTTTCATTCCAGTTTAAAACACCTTGCAGATACCTGGCAGTAAAAAAGCATAATGAATACTTGAATGACTCAGACTGGAAGCCATTACATTGACATTCATTTTCACATTATTTAGCATGATATACAGTAATTCATTTAATAAGCTACTATTTGGAAGCTTCCATATGTAGAAAAAGGAGAGACTTATTCTTTGAATACATTTGTTACTTTCTAGTTTGCTTCTCCTGAACTAAATGATGTAGATACAAAGGACATTATGCATAATTAAATTAATATTTGAAAGAAGCTTTATTTCTTGTGACTAAGTGGCAACCTTTCTAAAAATAAAAAATAAAAAGTATCCTAAAAACACCATGTGTACTCCGAAAATGTTCTCTCATTCCAAAGACAGGACAGACAGGTTTTTATGGAGAAAGCAGTCACAAAATAGATCTTTGGCAACTCTGATTTTCTAGATTTCCAAGCATATTTGAGCTTTTCTGGACCAAGCATCCCCAGTTCTATAATGAAGCATCTGTACTTCTCAGGAAGTCCCTTCCCTTTCAGTCCTTCTCTTTCTAATAGGCCTAGCAAAGTTACCTAAGGTCTGTAGTAAATGAATTCAATTTGATTGTACAGAGTTCCGAAGAACTAAAATACTACTACCTGCATATATCATCAGGTCATAGGTATATATTGATATCAAACTAATGAATTAATTAGAAAATAGTACAAGTGTTGATTCTTGAAAATACTGTGAAATTGCTAGGGGACTTTTAGAGAAGAAGAAAAATGGAATTAAATATCAATGGTGCAAACCATCATATCATATTAGAATGATGGAGTGACTCCAGTAGTCTAGAAATATAAGAAGATAAATTTAATAGGAATAAATATTAAGTGCTATGTTTAATTTTTTTCAAAATGTATGTGGTATCTTTGGGGCACCTAGGTGGCTCAGTGGGTTGGTTAAGCGTCCAACTTTGGCTCAGGTCATGATCTCATGGTTTGTGAGTTCGAGCCTGCTTTGGAGTCTGTGTCTCCCTCTCTCTCTGCCCCTCCCCTGCTCGCACTCTGTCTTTCTCTCTCCAAAATAAGTGAATAAATAAAAATAAAAATATATATGAGATCTCATAATCCAGAGAAAACTAAGTAGGCAATGGTGGCTACAGGAATTCTCTTCAAGTTGGGTTTGTTTAGGAGTGGTTGTCTGGTAGCAAGGGCTAGAGGAATTACCTTGAAGCTTCATTTGGGAAGCAAGCTGTATTAATTAGCTTTTGTGGAGTAACAAACGACTCCAAAGTTTCGTGTCTTAAAACAATAACCATTTGTTTAGCTCTTATTCCTGTGGGTTGGCCATCTGGGCCTGTATCAACTGTATGGTTTTTCTGGTCTCCTTCTTATGTCAGCTGCTGGTTGGTTGGAGGCTAGATGAGAGAGGAAGGCTTCCAGTGGACCGGCTTGCCTATGTGGCCTTCTTCCAGGCTACACATAGCAGCTGGGAAAAGTTCTAAAAGGAAGAGTAGAAGCACTCAGTGCTGTGGAGACCCAGACTCAGAACTGACATGATGTCATTTCCACCAACTTCTGTTGATTAAAGCTAGTCTGGAAATAGACACTGTCCCTTGATTGGAAGGGCTGCAAAGAGGGTGGGTGGACATAGGGAGGAAATAATTGCTGCCTTCTTTTAAATAGTCTTCCACACCAAGCATACTCTTTTAATATGCTGTAGGTCAATAAAAATAGCAGTTTTTGAAAGATGCTTTTATTCATACTCCACATATTGAGAAAGCACAGCTCCAGCTACAAGCTGGCTATTCATTTAACTTGGACAATGAATCTGATAGCCGAAAAGCAGGTTTTGTGCTTGTGCTGAACTATTTTTCAAGGTAACATAGGGGGTAAAGTAACGGGCCATAAGAAGTTTCCTTGGGTTTCACAATAAAAGCATCCAAAACAGATCACTGAATGCATCCAAAAGAAAATATAAATCTACTTGACATTATAGATATTTATGTTCTTACAAGGAGTTAATGATCTTGAATAAAAATTGTGTAAAAAGTAAATGACCGTAAACGCAAATGGAGGGGGTCATTGCAAAAAAAACTAACAGTTTAAAATATAGTTGTTTGAGATTTTAAGTTTGCACATCGGTCTGTTTCCAGGAGCTCTGCCAGTGCCGACCTGGAGAAGGGAACTGTTCCTGCTGTAAGGAGTGTATGTTATGTCTTGGGACCCTTTGGGATGAGTGTTGTGATTGCGTTGGTAAGTTGACATGCACTAAAGCTTAAAATTTATCACAGAATCCTTGACTTTAAGAGACTTTAAAGAACGTAAGTGTTGGGGGTGGGGGGGGAGTGGAAGGGGGAGATGGGCCTGGAGGAGGGCACTTGTGAGGATGAGCACTGGGTGTCAGATGGAAACCAACTTGACAATAAACTATTAAAAAAAAAAGAACGTAAATGTATCTTATGTGTATAGACTAGTGTGGGTGTAAGTTGTAGTAGATGTATGGAACATTACTGTACTTGCTTGTGTTGAATAGAATTTACAAATACGTGCATTTTTATTTTTATAGAAAAAGGTCTGGAAGGAAATCCAAAGTACTTTATTTTGGGGAGGTAGGAGTGGAGGAACAATGGAAATTCTTTTACTTTTTATTTTTAAATTTTCACTGTGTTGAATTTTTGATAAGTATGTGTTGTAGTTGCAAATAAAAATAAGTACTTAGTGTATATTAAAAATAGGTATCTTCCTTTTATGTAAGCCTTCAATAAAAGATTGTTGAGAAACTAAAAGCTTTTTTTTTTTTTAGAAATAAACTATTTTTAAGGGCTTTCTGAGGAATAGTTTCCAAGATGTATTAAGTAAAATAAAAAGCAAAATGTGTGAAAGTGTGTTTATGAAATGATATCACTTGTGTTTTAGAAAGAAAACTTACAGGGGCGCCTGGGTGGCTTAGTCGGTTAAGCGTCCAACTTTCGCTTAGGTCATGGTCTCGCGGTTCGTGAGTTCGAGCCCCGCGTCGGGCTCTGTGCTAACTGCCAGCTCAGAGCCTGGAGCCTGTTTCAGAGGCTGTCACTCCCTCTCTCTCTGACCCTCCCCTGTTCACACTGTCTCTCTCTCTCCTAGAAATAAATAAAACATTAAAAAAAAAAAAAAAAGAAAGAAAACTTACATGTATAGACTGTTGATAGGAGAAGCATTCATCATCCTCCAACCTGTGAACCCTTTTCCATCCTCTGAAACCACAGTTCAGGTGTCCCCTTGCCTCACAAATGCCCTTTTTTTTTTTTGGCTGAGACAAGATCCACTGTGTTATTCAGATTGTCTGCTTCTGTTGGGTTGTGTATTGCTTGCTACTATAATTGTTGTTTTGCACGTCTCTTCTAGCAGTATACACTCCTTCAGTTCAGGGATGGTGTCATATTGATCTTTTAAAATTAACCTCTTTTTTTTTTAATGTTTTATTTATTTCTGAGAGGAGATAGCATGAGCAGCAGAGGGTCAGAGAGAGAGGGAGACACAGAATCTGAAAGAAGCTCCAGGCTCGGAGCCAGCTGTCAGCACAGAGCCTGACGCGAGGCTTGAGCTCACAAATCGTGAGATTATGACCCGAGCCAAAGTCAGATGCTTAACCAACTGAGCCACCCAGGCGCCCCAACCTCTGTTTTTATCAAAGTGGGATCTATGCACATAACCTGAGGTACATGCACTAAAACAACCCCCTGCCATCTTCTTCCCAATCCTTTGATCTCCCACATCAGAGAAAATAGCTTCTGGCTCTTTGGTATTGTTTTATTTCCATAATTTAAAATAAAGTCCTTATGCTGTTCCCTTGATTCTTTAATTTTAGAAACTACTCGCTGACTTCTCATTATGGTAGATGATGGTTTAGCTCTCTTATCTCTTTCTTCCCAGTATAGTTCTATCACTACTTCTAGTTAAACCAGTGATTATTTTAGCAATCCATTGAATAAATTAGTGCTACATATTAGTTTGACGCATGATAGTATGAAAACTCATTTATCAAATGGATAATCCTATTATCTGTCTTTTTGTATTGAAGTATACTTCCTGAATGGTTTCTTAATCTTCTAGACTTCATATTAGTGTTTGAAATTTTGGCTATCATTTTTAATTTCCAAGAACCCTTCTCTGCTTGTCCTTTTTGGGAGCACATTTTTCTTGTTTTATTTATTTAATATTTAATTTATTTCTGAGAGAGAGAGACAGAGTGAGCAGGGGAGAGTCAGAGAGAGAGGGAGACATAGAATCAGAAACAGGCTCCAGGCTCTGAGCTAGCTGTCAGCACAGAGCCTGATGCGGGGCTCGAGCCCACAAACCGTGAGATCATGACCTGAGCTGAAGTTGGACGACTGAGCCACCAAGGCGCCCCTATTTTTCTTGTTTTATAGATAAGATATTTTTCTTATCTTCCTGGGACTGTTAATTATAGAGGTCAGCTGTTGCTGAAGTTTTCCCTTCTGCTCTTTGCATGGTTTCCATTTCCTCAAATGCCTGCTGATCCTTGGCCATCTACTGATACATATAAGTTAGGTACTCTAGTGCTAACTGGGAACCTTGTGCTCAGAGGGCATTGAATCTAGTTTGCCTCATCCTCAGATAGTTACAGGCTTTTTCACTGAGGAACCCTCTGCCTCAGGATCTATAGTTTTCTCTTTGGCATTATGCAGGTTTTCAGGGGAAGAATTTTTGAGTGTCTTGCCTGGGGTAGGAGTGAGTGATATGGCTGGCTGCAGGTGTTCTGGGGTCCTGAGGGGGTGATGTCAGTATTCAGAAAGCAGGCTAGCATTCCCTTTCCTTATTCCTTTCCACCCTCATCTCCACCTTGTACAGTTTTTGGTACTCCCGGTCCAAGGCCTCTTTATTTTAACTTCTCTAGGGAATAACTGTCTCATCTTCTCCAGCTGTGGGAAAAGAGAGGCAGGGACCAATTGGGAGGCATAACTATCCTCAGAATAAGCTTGCTTCTGCCTTACCTGTATGTCTGCAACTCCTGAGTCTTCCCGGAGTTCTGTGATGTCCACGTATCTGCCTGTGAGGGAGACTGCTTACTCCGCTACACTGAACTCAGAGGTCCGTCCAAGGTGGAGTTAGCATTTCACTTTCTTGTTTTTCCTTATTATTTTGTAGTGAATTCTGAGAGAACTGGGTCAGAGGTGTCTTTTCCTCTGTGTCTTAGATTCATCTTGCGATCTCTTGTTAGAGAGTTGTTACTGGCGTAGTGTTTGGCACATAGAAGAAACTCCAGTGTTTTACGACTGTCGAATAAATGAATTTTACTGCATTATTCTCCCAAGATGGACAGTTTATGCCCTTGATAGTCATAATTTTTTAAATTTTGTCAGGGGAGAAAAGAAGCTTTGAATTATTTTAGAACATTAAATGTAAGTTTATTTAATGTGCAATAAAAAGTAAAAAAGAGAACACAAGTCTTTTAACCCCTAAATACATATATAAGCATTTAATTTAACATGGATACTAAATACACAAGTACACTTCTAGCATTGCCTAAAATAATGTGTATGTGTATATGTGTGTTGTGTGTGTTTTACATATCACACAATGGTAACAGTGCCATTCATCTTTTTCTTTTTTTCTTTAAAGATTTTTTTTTTAAGTGATCACACCCAGCCTGGAGATCAAGAGTCATGCTTGGGGCACCTGGGTGCCTCCGTTAGTTAAGGGTCCAACTTTGGCTCAGATCATGATCTCACAGTTCAGGATCTGGAACCAGCTTCAGATTCTGTGTCTCCCTCTCTTTGCACCCCCCTGCTTGTTCTCTCTTTCTTTCTCAAAAATAAATAAATAAACACTTAAAAAAAAAAAAGTCTCATGTTCCACCAGCTGACCCAGCGAGGCACCTCCATTCATTTAGGCTCTTCCTCTAGAAAAAGAGTTCTGTAGTTCTTCTACTGAGAGAGACTACTTATACATGGCTCATATCTCTACAATTCTAGAAGCAACTAGTATGCTTCTGGGCTAGTTCCCATTTAAAAACATATACTATTTACCTGTAAGGATTTAATAACTAGTGTTAAACTTTGAGTGAATTCATAATGTAACTTTACCTTTCTTTTTTTTTTAATTTTTAAAAATGTTTTATTTATTTCTGAGAGAGAGAGGGACAGCGTGAGCAGGGGAGAGTCAGAGAGAGGGAGATACAGAATCCAAAGACAGGCTCCAGGCTCTGAGCTAGCTGTCAGCACAGAGCCTGACACGACGCTCGAACCCACAAACCATAAGATCATGACCTGAGCTGAAGTCAGACGCTTAAACTGACTGAGCCACACAGGTGCCCCTACACTTCATTTAAAATTCAGTTAATCTTGGGGTGCCTGGGTGGCTCAGTCAGTTGGGTGTCTGACTCTTGATTTCAGCTCAGGTCATGTTCTCATGTGGGTTTAAGCCCCACATTAGGATGGTGCAGAGCCTGCTTGAGATTCTTTCTCCCTCTCTCTCTGCCCCTCTCTCCCAAATAAATAAGTAAACTTAAAAAAATTAAAATAAACTTCAGTTAATCTTTCTGCTCTCTAGGAGAAAATTTCTATATTCTAGTTCTTTTTGTACAGCAGCATCTCTTCCTTATAGGCAGTTCTCTTCCATACTAGGCTCTTGTGACGTCCTCAATAAACCTGTGACCGCTTCTCCCTTCTAAGTTGAAACACTCTCCATACTTTACATGGGTGGGGCACAGGCCTCTGAGAGGACCCAAATTAGAGTGCAGCCTTCTCTTACACTCTTGTTCTGTGGACTTCAGCACATACTTTGTCTAGCAGGCTCTCTCCTCCAGCAACCTTGTATAAGAGAATTCGTTTCTCTTTTCCAATTTCCCCTTAAGTTTCCTTAAGAGTAACCACCACATCTCATTTTCATCCTTGCTCTTCAACATATTCCTCAAATCCTGTGGTTTGGGGATCATAGATCGCCTACCTACAGCTTTTGTGTTGTCTTGTTTTCATGTTTGTTTTGTTTTTACTTTTCCAAATACACACAAAACTGGAGAGTGCAATGAACTGCTGGGTACCTGCTCCCCAGCTTCAGCAGCCATATTGGTTTCATCCTTTCATTCATCTGTCTGTATCTCTCGCCGCCTCCCCTCCTCCCTTGCCTTTTGTTGTTGGACTATTATGAAATGATTTCACGACATCTCCAAAGTGCCTTAGTTATACATCTCAAAAAAAAAAAAAAACAAAGAGTAAATTTTCTTATGCAATACAATGTCGTTACCACATCTACAA